GTACATCAACTATACTTAAATAAGAAATTTAAAAAAGAATAATACCGGGATGCGGGAATAGTCTTCAGTAAGGATGCAATGGAAAATTGGACCCAGAACAACATCAAAATGTCTTCAACATTTCCCCAAGTTTTCTCAGAAATGATTAATAACCAACAATCTAAAGAATTAGCAGGAGACATTATCATGCTAAGTGAACTAAGTCAGACAGAGAAAGACAAATTTAATATGATATTCCTTATACATGGAATCTAAAAGAAAATGATACAATTGAAGTTATTTACAAAACAGAAACAGACTCACAAAATAAACTTACTGTTTCCAAAGGGACAAGGTGGAGGGGGGATGGACAAATTAGAAGGCTGAGATTAACAGACACACAATATAAAATAATCAACAAGAACCTACTGTATAGCATAGGGAACTCTACTCAGTACTCTGCAATAACCTACATGGGGAAAGAATCTGAGAAAGAATAGATACACATAAATGTACGACTGAATCACTTTGGTGCATACCTGAAAACTAACACGACGTTGTAAATCAACTATATTCCAATATAAAATAATAATTAAAAAAATAAAGGACTCCCTCCCCCCAAAAAAATGAGTTAGCAGGAAATCTGCTCTATAAGTATCATGTTTCATAAAACACCTCTTTAACATACAGATTCTCTGGAATTCCTGGTAGTCCATGAGTTAGGACTCTGTGCTTTCACTGCAGGGGGCATGGGTTCGACATAACTGTGCAATGCAATTAAAAAAAAAATTCTCTAATATCCAGGAGAGGTGGAAAACTGAATTCTCTGCCAGTGAGCTTAGTCCGGGAAATCTGAGATGTATCTGATGCTGAATATTATCATTTGAAAATGAGGATTAAAACAAAAACTACACTCATCCATTCCTGGGTTCTAAAGCTGATCAAGAAAGAGGGATCCTTCTCCACTACAAACCTATCACATTCAGTTCAAAACAGTAGAGGATTTTCTTTGCTATAGTTTAGATTCCCTTTCTCTACAATCTACTCTCTACCATTCTTTCATTGGCATACCCAGGGTCCCTCAACTGCTTCCATATCTGACTAAATGCTGTTCTTCTAAATAATAGTGATAACAGTAACAACAAAAGCAATAATACATTTGTTGATCTCTTAATATGCATCAAAATTGTAGGTGCATTTTCTTAATGAACCTTCACAACCATCCCATGAAGTAGCAGCTAGTATTTAAACNCCATGGATTTACATGTACTTCCCATCCCAGTCCCCCCTCCCACCTCCCTCTCCACCCGATCCCTCTGGGTCTTCCCAGTGCACCAGGCCCGAGCACTTGTCAGCTAGTATTTAAACTGCATTTTATAGAGGAGAAAAATCATGTTTAAAGAAATTTAGTCATCTTCATGAGTCACACAACGAGTAAGGGGCAGAGGAGAGGCCCACACTTAGGTCTGTCTAATTCTACATCCCTAATCTCTACAGTAACTGTACAAACGGTAGAAGGGCTCAAAAAATCACTTGGCTTAAGTGCTTGATTTAACAAATCAGAAATTAAGACTCCAAAGACTATGGCACAGTGTCTCTTTGCTCCTAAGTCTCTATGATTATATTATAGCATCGAACACATCTACACCAACAATCCTCCTTTGGACTCCATAACTTCCCTGGTTCTCCACTTAACTATCATCCTGGTTTTCTAGCAACTCTCTGTTGCCTGTCCATGTTCTTCTTTTTTTTTTTTTGAAAAGTTAAAAATTCCTTAATTTTTTATTCCTGGTACCACTACCACAATTTACAGGGCAATATACCTGATGTAATGAAAAGAAAAAGAAAAAGACAAAGCTACAACAGATAAAAGACCTCAGGAATGTACATCTAATTGACACTACATTGCATTAATCAATAGCTGCACTTTTTGCAAACTGTGGCTATGACAGTCCTGAACAAGAAGGGTTTCCTGTTTAAGCTGCAGTAACTTTTCTGACTATGGATCGTCGTTCCTCCTGTGGCAGATTTTTACAGTTCCTCTAACGCATTTGGGACGACTGTCTCAAAGTAACCTGCAGCTTTCCTGACAACTCCTC